AGTGGGGAGCAGAACAGGCAGATGGAGGTACACTGCTGAGGGGAGCAGCGGGCGGGCCAGGAGAGGTCTGCTGCGCCCTGTGGTCACCTCCAGGGCAGGGATCAGACGCGCACTGAGGCGGCTGCTGCCAGCTTGCAGTGCTGCGTCCTAACCCGCTGTGCCAGCAGGGGGGTCCGGCACCTCGTTTTTTACAGCTTCTCCTTCGCTCTTCTTTTGACCAGCAGTGTGAAATGGTGCTTGATTCACTTTCCCGAGGCAACAGCGGTGAAATTGGTGTCCTCATTCTACACTGTGCTAGAAGACTCAGGGTGCCCATTGGGGCTCTAGGGGTGGCAGAGGAGGGAGCACCCCCATCTAGGGTCAGCAAGCGAGGTGGAGACACAGGAGCTGGGCTTGCGATGCCCCTGGCTCCGGGCCGGGTGCGGGCGTGACCTGATAAGGGGGTCTCCTGATGCCATGTGGTTTGTGTCCCTGCAGAAACACCAAAATCTGTCCGCAGGCGCCGCACCAAGTTTACCCCAGAACACCTTGGGGCACTGAGGGACGTGTTCCAGAAGACCGTGTATCCCAGCTGGAGTACCATTACGCAACTCGCTTTAATTACCGGCCTGGACGATTTAACAATACAGGTAGGTCCCTTCTCTCCCCTGCCCCCTTCCTTCCTTCACCAGAGACAGCAGCGGGGAGACAGGAGGGGTCTACTGTGCCAGTTTCATTTTCAGGCTGAGGATAGTGTTTGCTATGCTTTGCAAGGATTTAAAAAATTATTTAAAAAAATTTATGCACGTAAGAGCTGGGGTGTAGCCAGAGGTGCAGGAGTGAGAGGATTCACCAGAGACAGCGGGGAATAGAACAGACAGATTGACTGAAACCCACTGCTGCGGGGAGCAGCAGGGAGACAGGAGAGGTCTGCTGTGCCCTGTGGGTCACTCCCTGCCCGGGGATCAAACTCGTGCTGCAGCTGCTGCTGATAGCTTGATGCACTGACTTGAACCCCAGCACCACCAGGGAGGCCTGAATTTCCATTTTTTGTAAGGCACCTGGGACTTTCCATGGGGACCGGTTCCAGAAACCGTTTCCATAGAGACCGTTTCCATAGAGACCGTTTCCATAGAGACTGCATTCCTACCACCAGGGGTCAGGGTTCCTTTGCCACATCCTTGCCACCTCTGTTCCCACTCTCTTTTATACCCAACATGCTCCCAGGGGGAGGTTATCTCAGGTTTGGTGGCTGTAGGCCAACTACATGTCTTCTTTGCACAAGGGTTTAGTCAAGACCTTTTTTCTTATTTAAATTGGATAGTCTGGGCTTCTGCTGTTGAATTGTATAAGTACTTCATATGCTTTGGAAATAATCCCCTGGTTAGTCTCATGTGGAAATATCGGCTCCCCATCTAAAATTTGTTGTTGTGCTGTGATTTCTTTTTTTAAAGATTTATTTATTTATGCATACAGAACTGGGGCACAGGCCAGAGGTGCAGAGGTGAGAGAATTCACCAGAGACAGAGTGGGGAGCAGAACAGGTGGACAGACTGAAATACACTGCTGAGGGGAGGAGCAGGCGGTCAGGAGAGGTCTGCTGTGCCCTGTGGGTCAGCTCCAGGGCTGCAGACCGAACTCGCCCTGTAGTGCCCCTGGCCAGCTCCCACAGGGCTGCGCTCCTACCTGCTAGGCCACCAGGGGGGCCTGCTTTTGTGGGTTCCATTGAAATGATCATGTGAGTTTCAGCAGACTAACCTTGATTTGTGTATGTTTAACCAGCCTTGCATGCCTGAGATAAAACCTACTTAGTCACGCTAGATGATTCTCAATATCCTGCTGTGTCTGGTTTGCTAGGATTTTTTGCATCCATCCATGTTTATCAGGGACATTGGCATATAGGTTTTGTGTGTGTGTGTATGCTGTTTTTCATTGGTTTTGGGATCAGGCAATGTGGTCTCATAGAATGTGTTGGGGTTCTCCACTCTTGCTTTTTTTGAAGAGTTTGATTAGG